ATGATGTAATTTGTTTTACACAGGAGACAAGTAATTGAAGAAAGACTAGTTCAGGAGTGCTTCCATGATGATAAACATCCCCCCCCCCCCCACTTCATTAATCGCCATGAAATTGTAGGTTTCGTTCTGAACACTTTTTAGTAATGTGTGTGTGTGTGTGTGTGTGTGTGTGTGTGTGTGTGTGTGTGCGCGCACACACGCATGCACCCACATGTGTGGATGTGGATGTTGGACATGAACTTGGGAGTTAAATATAGTGTAAGCCCAAGATTTTCAAGCTTCCAATGATTATATCAAATGAGCCCTAGAAGCAGGACTAGACTTCAAAAGAAGCTCTGGTGTTACCACTGTGTCCTATTCAATGAACTGCAACAAACCAGAGAGCCTTCTTGAAACTAGGAACCAGAGAGTGTGCCTGCAAGTTACCCTCAACAGAGAAACAGGAGAGGATACTACCATGTTACCCGTTTATGATGCATAAAACAGGGTCTGCTAGTCCTTCTGTTTCTTTGAGCCCATTTGTAAGATTCTGTCTTGTGAACATGAAATATCCTTAGCCTGCATTTCCTGTAGTATGGGAGACAGTGTGTAGGTGACCGCCAAGGCGTAGCCTTCAATTACACTGACCCACACATTAAGAAAGTTCCTTATTTTTCTCCTCTTTTCAAGCCTGTTGACTTCAAGGAGAATGTCTCTGGGATCTGATGATGACATACCTAACACCCCTCTGACACATACCAATCTCCAGTTCCAACAGACAGAAGGTTCCTCAGACAAGAAGCCACTGGGAGGCAATACACAGCTGGAACTTAATCTCACTGTCTGTGTTTGTTTCCCAGCATATTTATGTTTAGATTACTTCCACGACAAAAGTGTCTGGTTTACTAAGGCAAAGAAGACAGACAGAGCCCAGGTCAGGTCTGCTGCAAATGTGTGCCCTTGGACTCCTCTGGTGCTGGCATGGATGTAGGGAATTTGGGGAGAGGTTGGAGCAAGGGCATTTGGGATTACTTATAGACTTCCTCTGCCATGTCTGATCCCCATCATTCTCTCTGCTAAGCACTAAAATAATCAAGCTCATTGTTGAGGTGGATGAACTGAGAAGTAGGTAGTTGGATTGGAGGTCAAAGCAATGTCTCAAGAAGGTCTAAGGAGATAAACTGGGAGCTCTTTCTCCCAGCTAGTAGCCACACCCAGAGCCACTGTCCTGTCTCTTGCTATAGCCCCCCCACCCCACCCCATATAGTTAGTGTGAGAACATGCACACAGCTCACACTGTCCCTCAAAAGCCATGAACATAGAAAAAGAATCAAAAAGTGTGTGCTGTACCTGAGAAGGACAGTGAGGGGAGGGGAATAACAAAACATCAGACATTAAAGTTAGTATCAGGCAGCATCCATCCATAAGTAAAAACCAGAGAGAGAAACTGTCTTGGTAAATAAAGTGGGGCGTGATCAAGGAAGACTGGTATCAACTTCTGGGGTTACGTACACACATGCACACACAAAGAAAGAGTAAATTGTAAATACTAATAAATGACTTTGAACTATATGTATATTTTATAGGAGAGAAAGGAGAGTGGGTGGTGTCTATTACGGTATTGTTGATAGAGAAAGGACGTGTGACAGAATCTGTACATACACCACCTGGGGAAGGGACACTAAGCCAGTGTAGAGCCAGCTCTGGAAGAAAAATAGGGACTACAGAGGAACATTGTGATTGTTGTTACTATTTATTCTTATTTTCTAAAAAAAAAAAAAATTTCAACATGCATGTACTTAAAAAACTGCTTTAGAGGGAAAGAAAACTAAATAAGACTATCAGAGGTTATGCTCAATTAGATAAATATAAATTTTAACTATATAAAACCTACAAAAGAAGTTGGGGTTCTGGGTTCCATTTTTGAAGCAGCCACTATAAACTTAGAAATAAAATTATTATCAATGCTAATGCTAAAAGTGTATCTAGGCCTACCCAAAGAATGTGTCAAAAATGATACCGAGTTACTACTTTCACAAAAGATGGAATTGTTTACACAGAAAAAGAAGGGAGAAGCAAATGGAAAATTACTAGAACTTATTTTTTGTTTCTTTAGATTATTTTATTAGAAGTCCAGCTGGAGGAACAAATACAAGATTTATATATGGGAATCATTAACTTCTTCCCAGTCGTAGCTAATCTAAAAGAGCAACTTTAAAAAAATATTAAAAATTACCACCAAAACCCAGATCCAGAAAGATAAATATGGCATGTTGTCTCTTGTGCATGGTTGCTATGGGGCCATGGGGGAATTTCAAGGGAGGTGGGACAGACCATAGGTGGTATGAAGGGAGCATGGGGGATAGTAGAGCACGAAGGACTATGTGGGGTGGGTGGTGGAAAGACAGGATACAGGACGGAGTATGTGGAGAGAGAACTAAGACTAAAGACCTTTGAAAATGCCATATGGAAACCTGTTACTGTAAAATTTTCTTCACACACACACACACACACACACACACACACACACACACACACACGGAGTTTAAATGGAATTACCCTATAACAGGGAGCAATCCTTCTCCTAGACACCATAGGCTGTCAAATAAAAATCCTAGTATCAGGTGGGCATTTTGAGATGTTGGTCATGGGGTACCATAGACCCCCCCAAACATCACAGGATATTGCCATTGCTCTTAGTTATTCTCTAGAACCTGAAAGTCAGACCTTATTGCTAAAGATACCTCTTAATGGAGTCAGAGGACAGAAAACTCAAGCTGGTACCCACTTGAAAGCTTTATCCCTACTGGCTGGCTTTTATGGTACCAAAGGTGCTACGGATGCTACTGAAAGAGGAAAGTAGCCATCAGTCTTACCCAGCTGTGAACCCTTCAAGCTACAATAATGACTGGACTGGCAAGTTAAGTTAGATGGTGTAATAGTGGTACAAACGTTATGGAAGTAACCAGTCACATACTGGGAGGACTTAAAGTCCACTCCGTAAGATGGAGTTCAGGCCTGGTACTGTTAACTGGGAAAAACCCATGACTCATTAGGTCAGAGGCCCTATAGAAGAACCTACTACTACTATTCTACTAAATGGACACAGTAATAAACTCACCCCTAAGTTCTTATCTACATAGATAAGTGCACCTCTCAACCTTCATTGGGGAAACTTCTTCTTTCTTTTTTTTTTTTTTTTTTTTTTTTGCAGTAGATGATGATTAATACAGAGAGCCAGTAAAATACTATGGAGCACTGATCTCTAATGGAACGTCTCTATCACACACACACACACACACACACACACACACACACACACACACACAGAGCATCGGAGGTCATCATCGAAAAAGAGGTGGGAAGACTGTAAGAGCCAAAGGTAGTGAATGCCTGCAGTGAAGCAGTCTTTTCAGAACAGGACAGAGCAATAGCACATATGAACTCACAATGGCTGTGACCATGGGTCTAAGACCTGCACAAGAACAGTCCAGCGTGGGTAGGCACTTCAGGATGTTTTAAAGGTTTGAATAAATGGGGAGACACACCACAGTATAAAGTTGGCAATCTTCCCATCAATTAGCATCTACATTTGAGGAAACTCCTATCAAGTTGGCAATAGATTTCACTTTTTATGTGACAGTCTTGTTCTAAAGTTACAAATAAGAAAAATATTGCCTCATAAACAAGAACATTTTGGTATAAATGAAGAAACTGAGGTTAGGGAGACACCTATTGGTTAAGACTTTTGCCATGCCAGTGTGGGGATCCCTGTGTGAATGCTGGGGGTGGGGGTGGGGGGTGCAGCTGTAATTCCAGTCCCCAAAGGTGGAGGCAGGGGAAAGAGGCTAGAGAGACTGGCCATATAGGGGAGCACTGGGTTTGATTTAGAGATCCTGACTCAATGAACAAGATGAAAGCGTCAACCTCTGATCTGCACACACACACACACACACATACCTACTCACATACATTTAAATTAACATGAACACACACATACATGTGTAAAGAAGACAAAGGAAAACAGAAGCAAAATTATTATTACCTTTTCATCTATAAATACCCAAAAGAAAATGGGAAGGAAGAAAACTGCAAACTCAACAATATTGGCAGGGGATTAATGGGTCCCAGTCTTTCCAAGGCAGCTTGGCCATGATATTGGATTGTGCATTCCATCCAATTCCACACCAATAAGTTAATCTTTCATTATCTGCTCCGGAGGTACATACAAGCATGCACCCAAATGTAGTGGGTAGTCATTCCAGCTTTGATCTGGAAGTTCCAACCCCCATTGAGACTTCGGCAACTGTCATGCCTACAAGGTGGGGCCAAGGCAGGTGCCTGGAGACCTGAGATCTAGATGGGCCTGCGCTCTCACTCGGTTCCGGGACCTTGGACGGTGAAGGTGGGCCAAGCAGAGCTTCAGAGAACACCGCTGGACTGCAATACACCTCAGACCCCACGACCTACCTATCCCTTAATTTGTAAGTTACGCCATTAAATAAATCTCCTTTTAACTACGTGGTGTGGCCTTAATAATTTCACCAATAGCCTGGCTAGCTCAGTTGGTAGAGCATGAGACTCTTAATCTCAGGGTCATGGGTTTGAGCCCCACGTTGGGTGCCAGATAATGGCGTAACTTACAAATTAAGGGATAGGTAGGTCACGGGGTCTGGGGAAGGTGTATTGCAGTCCAGTGGTATTCTCTGGAGCTCTGCTTAGCCCACCTTCACCGTCCAAGGTCCCGGAACCGAGTGAGAGCGCAGGCCCATCCAGATCTCAGGTCTCCAGGCACCTCCCTTGGCCCCGCCTTGTAGGCATGACAGTTGCCGAAGTCTCAATGGGGGTTGGAACTTCCAGACCAAAGCTGGAATGGCTACCCACTACACCCAAAGAGGCTGATCTAACATATCCACAGAGCATGCTCTCTGAGACTACAGTTCCCGCAGAAGGACTCCAAAAGTTACTAACAGTCCCACTGCCTACTGAAAAGAAAATTATTTCTAAAAACATAGTGAACATCCACACTTGGAGATGAAGCATAGCTAATTCTTTCTAAAACCTTTTTAAAGATTCACTTTATTATTTTTATGTGTGGAGGGGGTAGTGCATGTGAGTACAGGTGCCTGTGGAGGCCAGAGCTCATGAGAGTCCCCCAGAGCTGGAGTTAAGGCAGGCTGAGTTGCACAGTGTGAATTCTGATACTCAAACGAGTTTCCTTTGCAAGAACAGTACACATTCTTAACCACTAAGTCATCTCTCTATCCCATCAGCTAGTTTTTTACAAAAAAAAAATTAAGCTATGTATTACTGATGTTGGAAGAAAGCCAAGGTACACAGCTAGACAGCAAAACTGAGCTATGAAACGTTACATATTGTGAGACACAGCATCCGCTCAAGCTTTTTTGTATCTGTATGTATATATCTGAATGCACATACATAGAACTGAAACAAGTAGTTGAATGACTTGTAGCGACAGGACAAGGGTCGGAGCTGAAACAGAATGGAGGGCACGTTTGCCTCCTCTGCACTGTTTGGAATTTCAGAATGAAAATTTAATCCTATATGAAGGACATCATTTTCAACTCCCCCAAAGGTAAATGTGACAACCTTAACAGTTTATTTACACGTGTGTACAGCTTCATACAACTTTGTAAGAATTTGAATATCTTCAACCTTATGAAAATCACAGAAGGGTTGGGTCAGAGACATACTTGATGAATGCCTGATGAGATGACATCACAAAGCTCATCAAGAATCTTCTGGAAGGATTAGGGCTCCTGTGGAGAGTTGGCCTTTGTGTCAACAGAAAACTCCTCATTTGGCTGTTTTTTCAAAAACTCAGCATAGTTTTGTTCATTAATAAACTTGAAGGCACTCCATTTTTCATCATAACATCTAGGGAAGCGTCGGAAAGTTGCGATTACCCTGGCTTCCTTATGTACATAGGATGTTTGGTTATTTGAAAGGCCATCAAAATGGGATGGGATGAAGTCACAGGCCCAGAGATTGAAATTTCTAGAAATGTGTTGCCTTTTATCTGGGGAGATCTTCTTGCGTCCCAAGCCCTAGGGAGGAGGGACAAAATTAGGGGAGAGATGCACAAGGTCACACAGTTCTGAGGATTTCAATGAAATCAGCTAATGACATGCATGTATTTAAATAAGACAACCATTGTGAAAGCCAACCTGTTGACTCTCAAAAGTCAACACCATCCTGGCAGTGCCTTATTGCTGTTCTGTTTTTCCCTTGCGATGAAGGAGACTGGACTTTTAGAGACAAGGAAGGTGAAACCAGAGGGACCCCAGTCATATATCTATACCTGCTAAGAACCCTCAGTTCCCAGGGAAGCACCACTCCTGACTGCCTCTGAGGAGGCAGCAGACTGAATTCTTTTCCTACCCTTTTGGCATCTCCCAAAGGGAACAAGATCTCTGGTCTCTGCCCACAGGCTTGCTTGTTAGCAGTTGGCACCTTACATGTGAACCTGAGAATCGCCATGTATTCAGAATTAAACATTTGATTCATCACAATGGGGTGAAAACTAAGAAAGAAAATGAATGTTGGCACAAAGGACTGAAAAGAGATAGACACCAGGTTTCACAGACCCTGCACCAATAAAATGAGGCTGACTGCTCACAAGGGCCCATCATCCAGGTGGCAACAGGGCCTGATAAAATGCTTGAATCAGGATGAAAGAGAATCTACAAAGCACCACAGTTGGCATCTGCCTCCCTACTTCAACCACCCTCAAATCCAACTAATCAGGGATGGAAAATGTGTGTGTGTGTGTGTGTGTGTGTGTGTGTGTGTGTGTGTGTGTGTGTACCAGAAATACTTTAATCATATCTGAAGTGAACATGTATAGACTTTTTCTTTATCATAATTCCCTAGATAATATTAAAACTATTTGCACAGCATTTACAATACATGGAAGTAGTCTAGAGTATATGCATGGGTAACATGGGTAATATATAATTGTTATGCATTGTCTATAAGAGACAAGCATTTGCTGATTTTGGCATCAATAGGGGATCCCAGAAGCAATCCCCACAGATACCCAGGATGACTGCATTTACATACTGGAGACACAGTGTGGGAAACGCCCAGGGGCAGTGCGATGGCTCCTGAAATACAGTCTGTACAGAGCAGCCTGTGAGGTAGAACAGGGAAGAAAGGGGGATAGAGGCTCTGGGGGGTCAAAGAGAAGATGCCAGGCACATTGCATCTTTTGGAAAAGTTATTTGAGGATACTCCAACAAAATGAAAAAGACATAAAAAGGGGAAAACAATATAGGGAAGAGCTTCAGGGAAAGTGGCCAGCAATGCAAGTCAAAACACTTGCAAAACACGTGGCCATGAAATATAATGGAAGATTATGAGGAAGGAACAAGAGGGGCCGAGAAGGAAGTGCTTGGACATGGAAAGGAAAAGGGAGGAGGAGGGAGGGGAAGAAGAGAAGGGAGAGAGTAGACTGGAGAGAAGTTTCAGTCAGACTGGAGCAATCAGGACCAGTGGCTGAGCTGCAGTTGGAAGCCCCTTCAGGGCTCATCCAGAGACTGAGAGAAGCCAGCCAAGGCCACCACCCTACCAGCCCCAGGGAAGAAAGAACAGAGGGAGGATCCTCAGAAGGGGCTCTCTATCCTTGGGGAGGTCTGCAGGTGTTCATTTTGTATCCAGAGCGTAGTGCCTTGTTACTACATTTTAAACACTTGTATTTGAGGATAACTATCAATAAAAAGTCAGCAGAAGTCAGGACAAGCAAGTAAATCCAACTGATAGAGCATTGTGGGGAGAGAGAACAAAAAGAGTCAGCAAGAACATGATAGATAAGAGACAGAAAGTGAGCGACAGGTGTAAAACCAAAACACACAACTGTCATAACCATGTGAACGGCTTAAATTCTTAGACGGAGAAACAATGACTCTTGGGTACTGTTTTTCATTTTAGTTGGGCTGCACTCTGTTTATAATGGAAGATAAACCCAAAGCAAAATGACTAAGCTTCATGAAAACACAAATGGGATTTCTATATAACTCCCCCTCCCACCAAGACTCAGGACAGTTGTAGAGGAGAGAGTAGAAAGATTGTAAGCCAGAGGTCAGGGAGGGCCAGAGTGAAACTCACCCTGAACCTGAAAGGACTGTTGCACTTAGGAACTCACAGCTGTTGTGGCTGCCTGCATAAGATCTGGACAAGATCAAGCTAGTCAACAGGCTAGCATGGAGTAGGGAGGGTCTCAGTAGCCCCCACCCCTAGCTGAGGAGTTATAAAGAGTTGATGGCTTCTGGAAGAGACGGTCTGTCTTCTTTAAGGGTATGGTCATGGGAGGCAAAAGGCTCCAGTGGATGCTCCCACAGCCATGAGTATACAGGCCTTGGTGGGTTATTTAAAAACAACAAAAAAAGGGCATAAAGTTGGGAAGGTGTGGCGAGCTGGGAGGTGGATCTGGAAGGAGTTAGGGGAAAGAATGGGGTGAATACGATCAAAATAAATCATATGTATATATGAAATGCTCAAAGAATTAGGAAAAATATTTTTTAATTCATAAAGACAAAGGAACTACACTTTGTAGTGCAACACATGCAAAAAAGGATCCATGACTAAAAGAAACACATAAGGCTGTGGCATCTTTCTCGGTCCCACTAACTAGCTCCCAAATAATGACACAGAGACTTATTATTATTTTTATGCAACAAGACATGATACTAAACTTTTTAAAGAAAAACCAAAAAGTGTTGAAATTTAAGAGTAACTTTTAGAAGCAGAAATTGACAGACCAAGACAAAGAATAAGAAATATTTCATAACATAATTAACAGTCCTCAGCTAATAACTTTGCAATTAAATGAGGGGCTATATAATCTTTTTAATCACTAATGAGACACTTTAAAATTAATCACATGCAAAAATAATCTCTATGACTCAAAAAGTCAAAACCATAGAGTGTCCTCCATAAAACTTAATGTAACACCAAAATTAGATATTAGCAACAAATACGTAACCTAACAAATTCTGGCCACATTAGAAATTCAAGGAATCTTCCAAACAGCTCTATTAAAGGAGAAATTAAAAATTAAATAAAGATTATTTGGAGGCAAATACTAATCAGACAAATTAGGTCTGATTAACACAGGTTTTAATGATGTGTTTGCCTAAATGTTATTTGTTCATTTATTTTCTCGTTCTGACTTCTGATACTTTCCTAATAGTTACCTACAAGTGTAAATGTTTAAGAGGTGTATTAACAAGGTACTACCCTCTGGATATAAAAATGATCACCTGCAGATTTCTCCAAGAGAAAAGCAACCCTTTCGGAGAGGTTTAGCTCTGTTCAGAAAATGGAACAGTATTGGAATTATTGGTTAGGTCTGAATAATAATATCTTCTTGGTATAGCCAGAACTAGAGAATATTCATAGTTTTAATAATCTCATTAACAAAAATGACAAGTATTTGAATTCAACTGTCAACTGAAGAATATTTTAAAGGATAGAAAAGTATGGGTACTTTGATTGACATTACCATTAAATTTGAAATGGATGAGATAAATTTTAGGCAAACACATCATTAAACTCTATGTAATAGGAATCAGGAAGTTTGAATAGACAGCTAGTAGTCAAGGTAAAATGCAAAAAGCTTGTTCTTAAAAGTGTATCAAACCCAAACCTAAGCAGTTTCGTAAACCAAATTATTAAGCCAGGACCTCCTGTGCAGTAGGCAAACTACTCCACTCAGCTGCCGGGCCTGTCCTGGGTCCTGTGGGCAAGTTCTATCAAACCACCATAAACTGAAAATCCAATGTCAAAGTTATGTAAGCTATTCTAGAACACAGAACACGCTGGGAAACCTCCGGAACCTTTCTGAAGGCTCTCATCACTCTGCCAAGGTGCGTGGGTCCAAGCCTGCTTGTGTCATTAACAAGATACACACTCCGGTGGATCTGCCCACTAGACCCCGATCAGCAGTTAATCATCAGGGTAAAGAGTTGAAGAGAGAAACAGGGATGCAAATATTATTTGTAATTTTACACAAATCTGGGTTGACTTTCAAAAAATATTTATTTGTGTGTGTGTGTGTGTGTGTGTGTGTGTGTGTGTGTGTGTGTGTAGGTCAGAGGACAACTTGTGAAAGTTTGTTATCCTTTTCCACCATGTGGGTCCCACAGATCAAATTCAGCTCTTCAGGTTGGCAACAAGCACCCACTGAGTCATCTCACCTTCACTTATTTGACTTTTTCAATGAACATACATTATTGTGGCAATTTAGAAAGCGTATTAAATGGGGCTGGAGAGATGGCTCAGTAGTTTAGAGCACGTGTTGCTATTGCAGAGGACCTGGGTTTGATTCCCAGCATCCACATGGTGACTGACATCTATAATTCCAGTTCTAGAGGATCTGACTGTGCAGACCAGCCCCCACACTTATTTACCCCAGGAACTCTTGAGAAATGAGGGATAAGAGACTTAGAGAGGTATGAAGCAGAGAGAAAACACAAGATAGACTCAGCTGGACCTGGGTCCTTATCCAAATGGGCCCAGAGCTTTAGTCCAAAGGGCTATTTATAACAAGGCCAAGGGGTGGAGCAAAAGACCTCTGCCTTGCTAGTTAGACCCTCACAAACACTTGGTGCCCAGGCCTGTGGTCCATTCAACCTCTTATGCAGTCCTGCTGGGTACAGTCACTAGAAAACCTAGTGGACTCAAACATCTGACTCCTTCTGACCTCCATGGGCACCAGGTATGCATGTGGTGATATGGTGCCCAGACATTCATGCAGGCAAAACACTCATACGCATAGAGTAAAATAAAATAAACATTTTATTATAAAGAAAACAATAAGCACTCCACTTGGAGAGGGAAGGGTGGAAATTCTGACTCAATATTCAAAGGCAAAACAGGTTTTTAGGTTAAGTTACTCATGTTTACTTGGAACAAGGTTGTGTGGAGGGAAAGATTTCTCTGGGCATGATGTTTCATCTCAGTCCTTCTCAGTTTGCTCATTTCCATACCAAGGATAAGAGTAATTAGCCCACAGGAGTGCTATGGGGCTTAAACGGGATAATATGAAACACTGGTGCGTAGTAAAGACTTAATAAACAAAGGATGTTGCTAACAGCACCTTTGTCACGTGAGTTTTCAAGTTTGGTAAGTGTTCCTGAAGCTCACCTGACACATACTCCTGCCTAAGATACGCTAACCTGTGATGTCCAGGGTAGCAGCCACTGGCCGCTAGTTATTGAATGCTTGAATATGAGCAGTTTAAACTGAGATTAGTAACATGTAAATCAGGTTTTTCAGGATTTAGTTTGAAAAGGGAAATGTAAAATAACTGATTAATAATTGCTATGGGGCCAATGAGATGCCTCAGCAGGTCAGGGTTCTTGCTATTGAGCCTGAAGACCAAAAGTTGCATCTCCAGAGCCTACGTGGTGGAAGGAGAGAACCAACTCCTGCAAGTTGTCTTCTGACACACACACACACACACACACACACACACACACACACACACGCACGCGCACGCACGCACGCACACACACACACACACACACACACACGAACACACACATTTAACAACACACACAGTAAACGTTAAAAAATTAAATTGTTTTAACGCTTAAGAATTTGTTAAAACATAATTTTATGTGAATTGCTCTATTACATGTTGAATTGACAATCTGGAGGAAATATTGGGTCAAATAAAATGTGCAAATGCCCTTGGACTTATGGTCCAATAAACCCAATGGAAGCTGAAATATCCTAAGTTGAAAGTGCATCTGGCATGGCCTTTGTGGGTTTAAAACAGAGCACATGAAGTTGAGAGGGAAAAAAAGTGGCCACAGGGATAGAAGAGGAATTGGAGGGGAGGGGATGGGGGTAGGTTAGATCAAAACACATTACATACATGCATGAAATTCCCAAACAATAAAAAATGTAATTCGCCGGGCGGTGGTGGTGGCACACGCCTTTAATCCCAGCACTCGGGAGGCAGAGGTAGGCGGATCTCTGTGAGTTCGAGGCCAGCCTGGTCTCCAAAGTGAGTTCCAGGAAAGGCGCAAAGCTACACAGAGAAACCCTGTCTCGAAAAACCAAAAAAAAAAAAAAATTTAATTTATTTAAAAAAAAAGAAACAAGATACATCTGGTCCACGTGACCTAGCTTGGCAACACATTACACTGTAGAGCACTAAATTTGTCTAGTGGTGTCTTGGGTGGTTAGCTGGGAGCTGAGACCTAACGTCAATGACAGAGCCTCACAAGAAACAAAGATACAAAATACTTTATACCCGGCAACAGCCCAAGAAAAGGGCAATAGTCTAAGTTTGAAGTTTTACCAAATCTGTTACTTTCATAGTATCATAAAGTTGAAACTTTTTTAAGTATCCTATCTGTTTTGTTAAATTTTACCTGGTCTTTAAATTCTCCTGTCACTGCTAGAAGTTTGAAAACTCTGCTTGCAGCTTGTTATTTTTCTCTACCCAGTGCCATGCTAAGCTGCTAACAAGTACTGTCAGACCTTAAGCTCTCCAGTAGCAGGGGACTTGCCACCTCTGGGATAACTCGAGGACTCTCACAAGGGACAATTCCGAGAGAGGACACTTTGTAAGCATGGCCTGTGCGTGACTGGAGACAGAAGGCTTGTCCGGGCTTGAAAAACTCCACCAACTCTGAGAGCTTCAGGAGGGGGCTTCTGTTGCGTGACCTTTCTTGAACCTTGTTGAAGACTCCAAGCTGTTCTGACTTTGTTCCAGTTTTAAGGAACACATGTCTCTCCATAATCTGTGCACCTTAGAAATCAAGGGACTCATCACTCCTCCCTATTCTACCAGTTGCCTGCTTGCTGCGCTGGCTATGGGCCCCTGGGCCCCCCCACATGCTAGGCAAGAGCTCTACAACTGAGCTATACCTTAGGCCCTACTAGTTTGCAAAGGGTACTCACAGCGTCAAAATAGTATCCAGAGTTCTCAAAACTGTGGCGATTGTCATGCATAGAAAAGGGGAAGCTGCTTTTGCTTGCTGCTTGCTGGAGAAGAACGAGAAGAGAGATGGAAAGGTACATGTCAGAACTGCGGGGTGACCTCAGACTGCGGCACAGTGATGGGCACGGAAGAGGGATGCGACAAAGGAACCTCTCAGTGAAGCTAATGAGGTCCATCACCAACGTGGAGCGAACAGCACAGGGGGAGGGATGTGGGCCCAAGTACGGGGCTCCCTATTACCAAATCTCTGAAATCAGAAAAATTCTCTTTCAAAATTGTCTTTGGAGGGAAGGATGCAAAAGTGCATAGATGCACAGAACCAAAGGCTGACAAGGACTTTTGACAGTGTGGGAGCCACTGACTAATATCTGACTAATAAGGATGGCAGAAACCAAATCCTGGAGACCCGACCAGATCCTAGAAGTCATAAGGCTGGGCTGAGGCTCACAGTGAGTGTAGCCAATATCGAGGTTAAAATCAATCTGCTTCCTCTTTCACGCCACTGAGGCCGGGCCGTTGCTCATGAACTGACCAGGGAGGCAGACCACGGCTGGTAATGACTAAAGGTTCCTATGGAGAACCCCAGCTCATTGTCTGGACCAGAAGGCAGCTCTAGATGCAGAGCACTTGGGTCCATCACAGGGAACCTGGGTATGACAAATGGGCAAATGAGCTCATTGTCTGACCAAAATGCCAAGTCCTCGGAAGAGCCCTGGGATCCCGTATCTGGCTGGGGCCCATGTTCGTCTTAACCTTCTCTCGGATTTTGTAGATTGGTGGCAGCTTCCTCTCCACCTGCTGAGACAAGTATGGACAGTGGATTTCCTTCAGGGTAGCACTTGTGATGGATTCTGGTGTCTTCTGCACCACTCCAATTTGAGGAAACTGGAAACACAACATGCAGCTTGATTAGAACCAGACACAGCTGAATCTGTGTGCCAAGTACGGGCTTCCTCTGCAGTGATTAAAACACAGTTTGGGCACTTCTGGTATGCTGGGAGAATGGTAAAAACCCGTGTAACTTTGAAGTTTTCCTTCCAAACAAACATTTCAAGCCACAGGGGACTTTTCCTATTCAAGGTCTTGGGGAACCTGGAAATGTTTCCACATTCTGGCAGAGAGCGTGAGTGGAGGTACTGGGAGATGATAACTGTGATCTGAGGTCCTCCTCTGGCCTGGGAGCCCTGGCACTTGGAGCCTAGTGGCCAGCCCATGTTCTCGGGACTGGGTCCACTCTCAGCCCTGGAAGTTGCCAAGCATGCTAGACTAGCTGGTCAACAAGCAGATCTTCTGTCTGCTTCCGTTGGGATTGCAACCATGTACCACCATTTCCAGCTTCGCATGCGGGTTCTGGGGATCAAACTCATGCCCTTACGCTTTACCAACTAAACCATCTCCCCAAACCCCCTCTTCCCTTTTGAAGTACACTGGCTAACTTTGTAACTATCTCTCCATTCCTCCAAGTTAGTATACAACTGTGTGTTCAGGTGGCTTTTGATTGAAATCTGTGCAAGAGTGATTGTGTTATAAATGCTATAGATATTGTAGGTATTCTCTCCAGCTATAAAGAAGCTAGAAGACACATAGGACTTGGCAGCGTGGACGGAAGGAAGAAACAGGAGGAGTTATTGTTGAGAACAGAGGGTCGTAAGGGTCAGTTTTGTGTTACACGGCACTGATATGGTTATCTGGTATGAATCAGCTAAAATATGACTGACACTGAGCATTGGAGGACTGTGAGTCAACACAAAATGAGTGATACTAGATGTCCTGGGAACCCCAGAAATAAACAGTTACATGGTATGTCATATAACTATGCCTGGCAGAGTGCCATTTTTGTGTGGGTTCCGTGTAAATGTAGCCTTGATGTCAAAGGCCCGCCTCTTTTCAAGCTGCCTGTGTATTTTTGTCTGTAGGCTCATGTGTCACCTGCCTGTATGTGGCCAGTGTGTACTAATGTGTGTCTGGGTGCCTGCCAGTGGCTCCCTACCTAGTATATGAAGTGTGTCTTATCAGTCTACAATTTCCCGAATTCTCTTCAGCCTTCCAGGCTCCCGTGATTCTCCTCCTTTCCTGGCATTGGAGTTTGAACCTCACAGATGTATAACCCAGTACCAGTGTTGTGACTAAATAAGCTGTGCACACAAAGCAGTGGGTAACTTAGAAGAACATGGTATAACAAAGGAACTACCACCAGATACGACCCAGCAGCCACCTGTGGGCTGAGAAGAACGAGACCAATGACACCGAAACCACTGGCTTTTATGCATGCAGACCCCCCTGTGACATACAAAACTGCCTATGGGGCCTCAGTGCATTGTTCCTGGTGAGACTCATAATGTACATGCTTGGCTTCAAAAACTCAATAGAAGAAAAACACAGGGAAACAGCCAGGTCTGGTGGTACAAGACTGTAACCCACTACACAAGAGGTTGAGACAGGAAGTTTGCAAGTTCAAGGCCTGCCTGGGCAACTCAATGAGTGTCTGTGTCAAAAGAAAAAGCAAAAAGAAAGCTGGGGACATGCTCAGTGGTAGAGTGCTTTGCCCAGCATGGGTTCAATCCTCAGACCCACAAAACAAGTAGAGGAGATAACATTCCCCCCAAATCGTCACCACCACCCCTCCCCTTAGTGCTTTGGAGACTAGCATAACATCCTGATGTAGACATACAATTCTACATATGGGTAGTTTGCATGCATTGGATCATATAGATAATATAAGAATTAAAAGGCTTCATAATTTTATTTTATTTTTTGGTTTTTTGAGACAGGGTTTCTCTGTGTAGCTTTGCGCCTTTCCTGGAACTTTGGAGACCAGGCTGGCCTCAAACTCACAGAGATCTGCCTGCCTCTCCCTCCTGAGTGCTGGGATTAAAGGCGTGCGCCACCACTGCCCAGCGTCATAATTTTATAAGTCACATGTGGCCATGGGGGATGACTGATGTCACCCCTAAACAATGAATTCTTTCTTTTTTTGGCCTTTCAAGACAGGATTTCTTTTTGTAGCCCTGGCCATCCTGAAACTTGCTCTGTAGACCAGGCTGGCCTTGAACTCACAGAGATCTGCCTGTCTCTCTTTCCTAAGTACTGGAATTAAAAGTGTGGGCCACCACGATCCGACTTTTGAATGCCTTTTTATTTATAACAAACCTTTTGTTACCTTTCCCTTCCCTCCTCATTGCCTGCACCACCACCTGGGATAGCAAGGTTAACTGAGCCCCCATGTGTTATATGTGAAAGGAACAAATACACTTTACAGAAAGAGGACCACACTGTCCCTGGTGTGCACCTTGCTTTCCTTGCTTCATCACAGACACTAGAAAGTTCTCAACCAACTTACACATATTTCTAATTATTTCTGTATTAAAATTTAAAAGCATTTTCAAACAATTATTGTTCATGTGTGTGCATGTTCATGTTGAGGCTAGAGGTCAACCTTGGGTGTTATTCCTCAGGAGCTGTCATCTTGGTTTTTGAGACAGAATTTCTCACTGGGACTCAGGGCCTGCCAAATAAGGAAAGGACAGCTGGCCAGTAAGTCTTAGGAATCTGCCTGTTTCCACCTCCCCAGCACTTGGCTACAAATAGACGCTGCCCTATCGTTCGTCTATATGGGATCAGGGAAACAAACTTGGGCCCTCATACTTGCAAACACTTTGCTGACTGAGCTATCTCCTCAGGCCCTACACGATGTTAACTGTTCACTTATTATTGCCATGTACATGTGTATGCACGATATGTGTGGGTAAAGTGCATCTACATGGCGGTCAGGGAACAACTCTGTGGAGTTGGTTCTCGTCTTCTCCCTTGATGGGATTCCAGGGATTGAACTCAGGTTGTCAGCTTGCGTGGTAAGTGCCTTTAGCTGCTGATCTCGAAACAATCACTTTTAAAGGTAAGTATAAATAGTGCAAGTGGGCTCCAAGTGGAGCCTCTCTCTGGTTCCCTCCATCCAGCTAAGTTGCAACTCTCTTGGAAAAGCAATGAGACCAGGCTGGTGTGTATGTGTGGGGGTGCTCTGCTCTGACAGCCGGGACGAAGGCTCACATCAACTGAAAACTGACTTGAGTTCATTTATATTCTGCAAGTCTGTGGACTAAATCACTGTTTAAAAATATGGCTCTGGCATTTTAATTTCACTCTTTTAAAATATATATTTAATGACTATAGCATGATAGCTGTGGAATAAACCCTTCTGTTAGATAGTGTAACCGTGAAATACAGCTTTTTAACTAGGTGGTGGTGAAATTTTCACTGTCTTCCATCACTCAATGACTGAAATATTAAATAGGAAAATGAAAGTAAGTCGGAGGAAAAGAAAGTCTTTCCTGCCCAGCAACAGCCAGATTACAACCAGCAAGGTCAACTGCAAAATGACTGTCACCTCTAATGGGACAATTACTGTCCTCGCAGATGGGCTGCAGCTGACTCACAGCCAACAGTTTCTTTAATTTTCCCAACTCATCTAAAGTTCCTTCCGGAAACTTCATGATCAGCACAATTCTTTTCATGCTCTTAGGTGCTGACAGCAGGGAGGACTTCTGCCAGAGGCTCAAGTTAAGCTAAGGATGTGGATGGACCAGTGCCTCTCTTTCTGACTCCTGGGTATCGGGCTGCCCTGCTGGGCTTGTGGCTGGAAGATGACGTGAAATGTTGACCCATGACGTGTAGATTCTCACTTTGTCTCTCATAACAGAACTTGACTTCACTTGAAATGTCAATGTAGTTGATTTAAATAACAAACAAACCTCCTATACTCCCTTGCAGCTATATTTGCTATGTGAACCCATGAGCCTGCAAGGCTCCTGGGAAAGGTACTGTTTTCCTGATAAAGGGGGTAGCCTGAGAAGAGAGAGAGCTTCTGCATTAGTGTCCCTTGATCTTCTTGTTTCCCTGCCTGGAGTGTAGACTCACTACTACATGGTGAGGATTAGCTTGGCAATGAATATGGTTGAACAGAAGGCCGGAAAGAACCCAGGGCTCTGAAAACTCCCTGAAGCAGAGTCCCACCTCTAATCTGCCTGCTTCTGCACGTTACTGCTATTTAAGAAGAAACACAAATCTGTGTCTGGTTAAGACACTATCAGTCCTGCCCCCGCCATGCTGGTGGCCAAAGCCCAAACCTAGGGCCTTGCACATGCTAATACATTGCACAGATTATATATATATACACGAATGAGCTACATCTCCATTTCTGTAGTCAGCATTTTAGTCAGTCAAATGCAATCCTGACTGATACTTAGATGACAGAAACAGGAAGCTATTTAGTGTGAGAAACATTTTTCCCACCGTGGGCCATTACAACAATGTGGCTGACTCAGGTGAGGCAGACAGGTCTCTGTGAGTTTGAAGCAGACTGGTTAATATAGTAAGTTCCAGGCCAGGCCAGCCAGGGTGACATAGTAAAACCATGTCTCAAAAAATAAGTAAACGAAAACAAAATAGGATAAAATTAAAATGTGGCAGACACTATTTCCCATTTGACTTTGGCTCCCAGGGAACCCAGATTAAAATGTTTTCCTAGTCTCAGCCTCTTATTCTAACACATATTTATGCTGGCATTAAATTTTATTTTACTTAGATTTTTCTGTTTTATTTTATATACTCCACGTACTACTTTTGATCTTAATGGACTAAAATGAAGTTTACAGTGTATGTGTGTGTGTGTGCGTGTGTATGTGTGTGTGTGTGTGTGTGTGTGTGTGTGTGTGTGTGTGTGTGAATACATGAATATGAGATACAGACACACTATAGTTAAGGAAGTGTTGATTGGCTATTCTACCTACCTTTGCCCTTCTGAATGAATTATCTTGTTAGTCCCACAGCAGCCCTCTAATTTTGGTACATTTTACTTTACACTTTAAAAAGTCAACATTAGACAAAACTTGTTTACCTTAGTCTAAGGTGATACTGAAGAAAATGTGATCAGTGCTGTAAATTCTAAAGACCCAAATTGGCCAAAATCTTTTCCCTTTTTCTTTTAAAACAAACAAAAAATTCAGTGTGAGAGCTAGAGATATGATTAAATAAAGATCTAGGCTCTTGCCATGCAAGCTTGAGGACCAGATCCCCAACACCCACAGAAAAGCCAGGCTGGAGTGGCAGTTCACCTGTCATTCCCACACTCAAGAGGCAGATGTGGAACCTCCAGAGCAAGATGCCTGTTTAACTAACCCAATCAGCCAGCTGCAGATTGAAGTGAGAGGCTCTGCCTCAGTGTCTAAGGGGGAGAGTTATTCTGGAGTATGCTTGACATCAATCTCAGGCCCCCACAAACACGTGTGCACAGCACCTGCCTACACATGTGGACATGCTCATACACTACTCACATATACATGCAAAAAACAAAAACAAAAACCTCCACAAATCTCCCTGCTCCCCCATGTTATTGTCTTAAATGCTTTGAACACAAATCTTCTCTCAGATTCTGCCTCTGGTTGTGAAAGTGGAGGAGGACACAGGGATTCCCCTTTTGTGAACAAGTTGAAGAAATTGGACATGGAAGACTGACAGTGCATGGAATGTCCACATTAAAGAGCAAATGAGAAGTCCCTGGGCCGAGAAGGTAAGACCTCACACTGGGAACAGATGCAAATGTTTCTAGAAGACACCAGAACAACAGCACGCCCAACCATGCTGTTCGTGATATCACCAGAC